TTTGTTTTTTGTGTGTTATATACATATATAAATAATGATTAAAAAAATACGATTAACCTCTATTTATTTATTATATGCTCTCTAAATCTGAATTAGTGAAAATGTTTAATAATTTGAATTAGTGACTCACTTTTTGCTTCTGAATTAGTAAAATTTTACTAATTTTAAGTAAAATTTTACTAATTCAGAAGAAAAAAGTGAGTCACTATTTCAAATTAGTAAACATTTTTACTAATTCAGATTTAGAGAGTGTGATGCGCTTTGAAGAAAAGGACCGTAGAAGAAAAAAAATTATATAGGTTATGTTTTGAAATTTTTATACACAAACATAATCAATTCTCAATAAAAATTATTTATATTTATGCCTTTATTGAAAATATTAAATAAAAACTTATTTTTAAATTAGAAAAAAACAAAAATCTTTTATAAAACTATTGTGTACTCTCTAAATCTGAATAAGTGAAATTTCACTTAAAATGTGTCAAAAGTCTTCCACGTAGAAAAATAAGTGTATATGCACTTAAAAATAAGTGAAACATCACTTATTTTTGAGTGAAAACCATTTATTTAAAAGTGCATATACACTTATTTTTCTACGTGGAAGACTTTTGATACATTTTAAGTGAAATTTCACTTATTCAGATTTAGAGAGTAAACATAACCTATAATTCGTTTGCTTCTAAGGTCCCTTTCTTATTGAATTTTTATTTAAAATTAAATATGAATTGCAAAATAAAAAAAAGAATTGAATTTAAAAAGAAATTTTTGAAATTATAGTATTATATATTTATAAATATTTTGATGTGCGCGTTTTTAGTTGACTTTTTTCTGTTGACTGCTCCCTTTTTGATATCTTTCGTACAGACATGGACCAAAAGAGAGAAAGAGAGAGTTTGTGTGTGTGTATAAAATGTATATATATTAAAATGTATATATATATATATATATATATATATATATATATATATCAGTTTATCTCTCTTTTCTAGCGTCGTGTTCCCTGTGACGAAATTAAATCGGCGTATATATACCGGTTTTTCCCAGCTAATCACCTCTGCGAATCGTATGGCATTTAAATCCCGTCAACTGACAATGGGCCCCTGAAAAAGTTAGACAGGGTTGAATGACCCTGCCATGTGCCACTTTTATCGTGGCACCCCCAGCATCGACACACGCTCGTGTCCCGGGATTCGAACAATGCTTTTGCTGGAGATTTCATGATTTTCTCTCTTTTTCACCCCTGTGCCCTCGAATCGAATAGCCCTCATCTCCCACCTTATAGGTTACCTCTCTCTCTCTCTCTCTTACTCTCTCTTTCTCTATTTCCCCTCCGCCGTGACTTTAAGCCATCATCACGACCTTCACCATCCGCCCCACATTCCCCAAACTACCCCCGTGCGTCCTTCACCTTCACTATACTCCTTCTCTTCCACCCCTCTATCAATGCATTGAGCCTTGATAATAAAAAGGGTGCCCCCCAAAAACTGGCCACATTTTTCGATAATTCAAGGTGCCCCTATGTACCTTAATTCTTCAATTAACCGTTTTATGCCACATTTTATATATAGGTATAATATATGTGGGCTGTTTTTTAGACCATCATATATTATTCCATTAAAATCTTAATTTGTTAAATTATCAATTGTTTGGTAAATTCGATTTAATTTGAGAATATTGAATTTTTTTTTTTAAAGCGGCGCATCATTATTCCATTGAAATAATATATTATATTATTAAAATTGGGAGCATGATTTTATCTCACACGGAAAGAAAGAAAATACAAAAAATTAAATGGCATTAAAATAAGCTGCAACTATTATTTTAATCCAATTTTGCTTATTTTAATCCATTTTGGTATTAAAATAAGCAAAATTGGATATTAAAATAATAAGCGTTGCAGCTTATTTTAATGCTTTTTAATTTTCTGTGTAATTTTTGCTACTTTCAGAATAATAAACGGGATCACACACGAAAAAAAAAGTAGAATTTTTATCTCAAAATCGGTATAAAAATTACATGCAACAAATTTTATCCTAGTTGAGGGCGCCACCGTCTATGTGAATTAGCATTGATGAAAATTAACCGCAACAAAATTTATCCAGCGTTTTTTCTGTGTCGAACTATTCGAAGTTTTTTGCGCATCTCTGTGGCAACTTTTATTCCAAAAATAGTAAAATTGACTATTTCTGTAGTAAATTTTTCTGTTTCGTGTAGTAATTTTTACTATTTCTAGAGTAAATTTTACTATTTTTAGGAGTAAAAGTTGCCAGAGATGCGCAGAAACTTCGGACAATATTCTCGTTTTACTCCAAAAGTAGTAAAAATTACTTTTTCATTTTTTCCGTGCACGGAAAAACGCTGGGTAAATTTTGTTGCTGGTAATTTTAACCAATACTAATTCACATAGACAGTGGCGCCCTCAACTAGGATAAAATTTATTGCAGGTAATTTTTATACCGATTTTGGGGTAAAAATTCTACTTCTTTTTTCGTGTGTGCATAAAAATCATTTGTAGTTAGAAATTTCAACAATTTTTATTAGATATAATTATATTTTAAACGAATTCTCATTTTTGAAATTAACATTTAACACTTTGAAGAAAGGGACCTTAGAAGCAAAAAAAATTATAGATTATGTTTTAAAATTTCCAAGCGAAAATACACACAGAGAATAAATTTTCAAATTATTGATATTTAAGTCTTTATTACATTCAAAAATATTCAATAAAAATTGATTTTTATTTTATATTTAAGAAATTTTTAATCAAGTTAAAATTATCGCCAACATAACCTATAATTAATTTGCTTCTATAAGGTCCTTTTCTTTAGAACGCGTCACATTTGTCAGAATTTTTTAATTTTAACGAATTTTCAATTAACAGAATTTTTAGGCACCGAAATGTTTATTTATCCGAAATTTCGGCGCGTTATTTAAAATTCACCAATCACAATTTTCTTGACATTGATTATATTGATTGATGAATTTTAAACATTGCGCCAAACGAATTTTCATTTAGATTAAATATTTATAATTGAATCAAAGAAATTTTTGTTTTGATATATATATATATATATATATAGGTTCCAAGAAACATTTATTCGAATTAAATAAAAAATTTCTTTAAAACGAAGATAATTTTGTTTGAATCAAAGATAATTTGTTTGAAACAAATAAATTTTCTTTGAATCATAAAGAAATCTTTTTTCTCGGTGTAGAGTATAAAATTTGCCAGAAATTCCGGAAAGTTTAGGATTTACTGTGAAAGTATAGTAAAAAAATTACTGCTTTTGTTTTCGACTTTATATGTCTCAGAAAAAAATTTCTTTCATTCAAAGAAATCAAATTCTTTGACAAATTTTCCTTTGTTACAGAGAAAATTTATTTGTTTCAAACAAATTATTATATTTGATTAAAAAAAAAAAAAATTATTTTCGTTTCAAAGACATTTTTTTTATTTAATTCAAATAAATGTTACCTTGATTATTTTAGGGTAAATGCACTAATTATGGCGCGATTCGAGTTAAAACACGCTTTGAAATAAAAAAATTCGACATTTCTATATTGTATAAAGTCAATTTAAGACTTATTAAACTAACACAGAAAATTAAAAGGCATTAAAATAATATTAATTTTAATACCTTATAATTTTCTGTGAAAAAGTTATATGTTATTTAGATATTAAAAATAAATTTTAACTTTATAAAAATCAATTATTTAAACAAATATGAGAAATTGAAACTAATACAGTAATTTTTTTTATAACCGCTCGTTTGTATCAGTTTCGGTGACAAAAATTACGTGTATTTTAAAGATACTACACTGTAATTGGAGCTGCAACGATTATTATTTTAATCCAATTTTGCTTATTTTAATACCAAAATGGATTAAAATAATAAGCGTTGCAGCTTATTTTAATGCCTTTTAATTTTCTGTGTTGTTTTTTTTTTTTGAACGCGTCGTAATTGATGCACTACCCTATCAATGTTAGAATTTCTTTGATTTAAGGGCATGTCAAAGTCGTAGCAATTTTTTTTTTTTCATAGAACTTCAATGAAAAAATCACAACTACTTTGACCTGCCATTAATAAACAAATTTATCTTTGATTCAAAAGAAAATTTTTTTTAATTCAAAGAAAATTTCTTTGAATTAAAACAAAAATTTCTCTGCAAAGCTTTTTTCTTGTTTCAAAGAAAATTTTATTTTGAAGTCAAAGAAATTGGTTTCTTTAAATCAAGAAATCTTTTTATAGGTTTAACCCTTACGTTGCCTGAGTTTAATTCATCTAAATGAAAATTCTATTCAATGAAATTCTACCCAATGAAAATTCTTTAAAATGCCGATTATGTTAAATTGAAAATTCGAGCAAATAAAAATTCGAAGAATTAAAAATTCTGTGTGTTGAATTTTCCGTTATATAAAAATTCTGTAATAGAGAAAATCGGATTGATGAAAATTATGCCAAATGCTATTTCGAATAAATTAAAATTCGGCTCAAAATTGATTAGGACAAATAAAATTCGATAAAATGTAAATTATGACTAATGATTTTTAGAACATAATCATGCGTCCCCATATTATTTTAACTCAAAGAAAGTTTCAGCTGGTGTATTTCTTGCCAATAATCAATTATCCATAAAGGAAAAAGCATTTTATTTTCTTATTTTTAAGAAAAGGCTGTTGGAAATCAAAAATTTTAGTTTCAATGTAGATGGCGCTGCCACACTTGGACATGGCCTTAAACAAAATTTTTCTGATTTTCAAAATTGTGGATATTTTTTTTTTTTTCGATACATTATTATTGAAAATAGTTTTAATATTATTTTGAAAAATTGAATAAAGTAAAAAAATCAATTTAATTAAAATATTTTTTAAATGAATGAAAAAAGCTGTAGGGGTTATAGTAGTGTTTTTTTTTTTTGTTTTTTTTTTTTTTTTTTTGGAGGGATATTAGATGGTCGGCCATGACTGGAAATTAATATAGGGCGTTTCATTTGAGCAGGGTGCAGCGAGGACGAGACAGGTGCGGACACGGAAGTGGGCGGTTGCGCGGATGGTACTGCGAGTGGAGGTGTTGGTGGTGGCGGCGTAGGAGGAGAAGGAGGTTCGACGAAACAGGGTGAAAGGTGTCCCCAGTGCGGTATTCTCTGTCGGAATTTAAACGTTCTGCAGCTCCATCTCGAGGACATTCACAAGACAACCTACGTCATCGATAAGCACGACCTCGGTGCTCAATTCTCGCAAGTCGTAAGTGGCTTATCATCTCACAACTTTTACATCGCAGGACTTTATCCTACACTTGCGTATTATACAGCAACATCCCGATTTCCCCTCCTTTTTTTTTTTTCCTTTTTCATAATCTCCATCCTGATTATTTAAATTCTCCGCACAACTCACATTTCTTGACCTTAAAATACTAAACTTCTCTGATTTATCGTTTCTTTTTCCTGTATGAAGGGGAGTTTATTAAACTATGGAGGGGGCTTTTTTTTTTTTTTTTCATCTACGAAAAGATATTTTTGGAACGCATGGGAAAACGATTTTTGTTTGGATTCTGGTTTCATTTCTTTTTGAAAACATTTTCTTTTCATTTTTTTTTTTTTTCAAATTTTTAAAAAGAAGCTTGGATTTATTATGTTTGGAAAATTATATATTTTTGAATTTGAATTAGATGAATTTTTAATATTTGAATTAATTTTTTACAGTCTTGCAAAGTGTGTAATAAAACTTTTGCCAACGTCTATCGTCTTCAGAGGCACATGATCAGCCACGATGAGAGTGCAGTTCTTCGTAAATTTAAATGTCCCCACTGCGAGAAAGCATTTAAATTTAAACATCATCTTAAGGTAAATTATTATTCATATATTGAGAATTATTGTTATATTTGTGTTTGAAAATAATCATAAAAAATTTAATTGTTAACAGGAGCACCTTCGTATTCACAGTGGAGAGAAGCCATTTCAATGTAATAATTGCGGTAAACGATTCTCGCACTCGGGTTCCTATTCAAGTCACATGACATCAAAGAAATGTCTAATAGTTAATCTAAAGAAATCGAGACAAGGATCAATCAGTAATGTTGATAGAGGGCCGAGAAAAAATCAAACACCATTACAAAATCGTCGCGATGTTGATATGATTGCTGCAAATAATAATACTTTCCTGCCAATTCTCCCTAAACTTTCGCCTTCTCATTATCATGACATTCATAATGAAGGAGGAGGTGAGTATTTTAATTTAACCATTTTTTTTTTTTTATTTGCAACTTTTGATAATTAAATTATTTTTTTAAAGGTATGTACGATGTGCCTACATTACTTCCGCAAATGATGGGATTTGGAACGTATTTTTTACAATCGTCATTGAGAAAATTTTTGCATCAATTGCACACAAAGAGAGGTGATGATTTATCATCGGAGAATTATGAATCTCATGGTGAAGTTATGAGTCCATCGACAGCCGATTCTGAGGGTACAGAAGGAACTGAGGGAAAAGAATCGCCAGCACCAAATGAGGGACTCGATGCCGTTCGTCGTATTCTTGAGACTGTCAATACATCAGTGACGAAACAATTGCTTGAGGCAAATGTGAGAAAACTCTCATCATCACCAGCCACTATTAAACGTGAATTTGATGATGATTATCAGGTAAATTATAAAATTTGAATATTTGAGGAATAATTTATTAAAAAAAAAAATTTGTTTACAGGATCAAGACAGTGAGATTTCAAGTGAAATGACCCATTATCCTGATTGGCCAACGACAGATCAATGCGATTCGCAGAGCGAGGGTTTGGCGATAAAACTTGAGGATGTTAATCAAAAGCCAACAACAATTAGACAGGGTTGCAAGAGAAAAGCCGATGTTGTTGATTCATCGGATGTTGATACTGAGGATGAAGATGAGACAAGTCAACCACAAAGTGAAAGTGGTCGACGAGTTAGAGCAAGATCATTAATTGATGATGAACAATTGGCTGTTCTTAAGGGGTATTATGCAATTAATCCAAGGCCAAAGAAAGAGGAAATCATTATGATTGCTGATTATATCAAATTTCCCACTCGTGTTGTTCAGGTAGGCGATAAATGACCAATTTTTTTTCTTTCACTTTTTCAAAATAAATAAAAATTCCTTTTTTTTAAATCTAGGTTTGGTTTCAAAATTCGAGAGCGAGAGATCGTCGAGAATCAAAAATACCGGCCCTTCTACCATTGGCGAATGCTGGCATTCAACCGATAAATGAACAACCACTTGATCTCTCGAAAAAAGAACTGACAATATCCGTGATAAAAGAGAGTGATACGTCAAGTAGAAATACAGCATCGCCCTGTGGACCAAAGGAAGATACTCTAATGACACCGACATTGATTATTAATCCCGACACTGATCTTGAGGATTCGCCACTTATTATTGATGAAGAGACGACGACCGATTCGGCTGAAGTTCGACGTACTTTATCAAATAATGAAGCTCTACCAAAGGTGATTGTTAAAAGAAAATTTTTAATTGTTTAATTATAATGTGGTTTTAATTTTACTTTTTCTTTTCTAGAGTCAAAATCAAACAATTGTTAAAGTACAAAATGAAGGAATACTCGTTCAAGCTGATGTGACTCCAACAATTGAGACGGAGCAAGAAGGTCTCTTTTTTTGTAATCAATGCGATAAAACATTTTCAAAGCAAAGTTCCCTAGCAAGACACAAGTACGAACATTCCGGTGAGTTATTTTATATTTTTAAATTTACATTTTAAAGAATATTGAAAGGAAGGGCAATTTTTTTATTCAATGATGTACTCTCTAAATGTCAATTAATAAAAATGTCTATTAATTTGAATTAGTAACTCACTTTTTGCTTCTAAAATTAGTGAAATTTTACTAATTATTAGTAATTTTTACTAACAATTAGAAAAAATTTAACTAATTTTAAAGCAATAAGTAAGTCACTAATTCAAATTTAGAGAGTAAAATAATCGTTATTAATTCTTTGGAGTGTAATATCACAGAGAGAGAGAAAAAAAAAGTGTATAATTAATAAATAAGTATATACATTTTTTTCCAGGACAAAGGCCGTACAAGTGCCAAGAGTGCCCAAAGGCGTTCAAGCACAAACATCATTTGACTGAGCACAAACGTCTGCACAGCGGCGAAAAGCCATTTCAGTGTTCCAAGTGCCTAAAGCGCTTTTCTCACTCTGGCTCCTACAGCCAACATATGAATCATCGGTACTCTTATTGCAAACCATACAGAGAATAGGACTACCGAATTGCTCTCAAATGATGAGGCCCATCCACTTAGCTAAGTACATAACCCCCCCCCCCCTTCTCTCTTCCCTTCACCATTTGTCGCCCAATTTACGTGTTTACCGGTAAGTGAAAAAAAAAAAAACAAAGAAAATTATTAACAAATTTTTACAAAAAAGATTTTTTCCAACCGGTCACGTATCGACTCTCTTCAGGATTTAGCATTTAAGTTTAATTTCTATATATAAATTTAGTTTTGTGCAAAAAAAAAAAGGCGCAAATTCTCACGCAGAGGACTATTTAAAGACTGTGCTGGTAAAAAAAAAGTACCTCTCTTTAAAATTTTGCAAACATTTGCAATTTCCAAAATTTTTTTGGAAAAATATTAAGCGAGGCTTTTTTTTAAATATTATTATTACTATTTTTAATTATTATTATTATTACTTTTCTATTATTACTATTAATATTATTATTATTATTATTACTATTATTATTACTATTTTTATTATTATTATTATTATTATCATTTTTATAATATTTAAGAGTAATTCCCCAGTTGAGCGATACCGAGTGAAAGGATATTGAGAAAGAAAGAAAAAAAAAAGCTAATTTAAAAGAAATTTGCAAAATTCCTTTTGCAACGACTAAAAGTAATCGAATTATGCGTGACACTTTTTTTTTGAAATATTGTCACACAAATGAAAAATGAAATGACAAACAAAAACCAAAGTTTAATGACAGGATTTAATAAATCTCTGCCCAAGATTTATATATTATACAAATTTAACCAAAACAAAACACGTAACGGTACCAAAAATGCATAATGCAATAATCTATTATTATAAATAAAAATATAGATATAAAATATGATATAATATACATAATATTTTATTATTTTTATTAACAAGATATTATATATATACCATTGACAATAATAAGGAGAAACTAATTAATGTACAAATTTGTTAGTTACAAAAAAAAAAAAAGATATTTCGCTGGGGAGGGCGAAAATAAAAAAAAAAAAAAAAAAGAAAAGAAAAGAAAGAAAACCATCCACACGGGATGAACGACGTTATTTAAAAAAAATGGATATTGCACTTATGAATAGAGATTTTACCAAAAAAAAAAAAAAAATAATAATAATAAACGAAAAAAAGAGGAGATGAAACTTAATACTGAATATGAGAAAATTTATTATATGTCAAATTGACTGCGCCTTGGGATAAAAAATTTTTTTTTTTTTTAAACTTAATGTTAACACAATAGACAATATTTAGAAATAGATTTTTTAAATATCTCTCTCACTAAATCAAAATATTTCCCTTGTGTATAAAATTTAATGAAGAAAATATAATATGTATTTTTGTAATATACTTTTTAGAAGTATTCAATTAGTTGCTTTCCTGTAATTGCAGAATATTTCATATAAATATATATAAAATATATTTTTTATTGCTACAGGATTACAACGTTTTTCTATATAAAATAATAATAATAATGACGCAGAACAATAAAAAAAAAAAAAAATTAATATATTTAATTTTCCTTTTTTTTCACGAAACTAGTACAAAATAATAAATAGAAATATAATTAGCAATATTGTTAGCAAATATTTTTTTTAATTTTATTTTTACATTAATATTGTTATTGTAATATTCATTTCTTTTTTTTTTTTTTTTTTTTTTTAATTCGAGGCGCAGTTAAATTTGGTCAGAGAAAAGGCTTTTGGTAGCCTTGAGCCTATTTTTTTAGAATTCTAATAAAAATAATAATAAATCGACACGCGGGTCAGAAAAATGAGTTTAATTAAGAAATGAAATTAAGATGAAAGTTTTCATAACGAGAGCCTTTGAAGTTATACTGTAATTTTTGAGTAACATGAAATTTATTCTTTTCAATTGTGTTATTATTGACGAGTGTTGAAAACAAAAGTAAATTTTTTTTTAAAAATTAGTTCCTTAATTTTATCAATTTAATAATTTCTTTACTAATTATAGAGAAAAGGAAAAATAATTTTAAAAGTTCAATTGCTTTAGACATTTTAGTATTAGACGAATTTTTTTAAAAACATTTTATATTTGGAAATTTTGTGAAATATTAATTTAATGATAATATTTCGGAATTATTTTTTTTTAAACTTGAAAGGCTCTCGATGGGGGGGAAAGCGAAAATAATGAATTGTAGTGTACCGAATTATAAAATCTGGCTGCGAAGAGAGCTTATTGTAAAAAAAAAAAAGAACAAAAATTCTACCCTGTTTGCCAGAACAAAGAAAAATCTCGAATCTCGCCTCCTCACTTTAAAGAAAAAATCAACAAAAACAGAGTTTTATTCAGCTCAGCCCAAAGGACTATAATTATTAGAGTTGAGGTTTCAGGGCCTTGTGGATCGGTGAAAAATTATGCAAACACATCTTTCCAATACCTAATTTTATGTACTTATGCAATACTAATATTAAAGTTAGAAAAAAAAATTTTTTAATCTCGACCAATTTCTTCAAAAATAGAAAAAGAATTTAAACGACTAAAAAAATGTCCCTTTAAACAATTATAATATCTATATTTATGTAAATTCCCCATAAATCAAACATGAAAATCAAAATAAAATATTAAAAGTTAAAAATCAAAAATGTTTTTTTAAAAAACTTTAGAAACAAAATTTTTTCATTAAATGTAAGAAAAAATAAATTTTAAATAATCCTTTTTCTGTTATTTTTATATATTTTTTTTTTTCATTTGAAAAAAAACAGAAAATAATTCGAAGAAGAAAGGAATAAAAAATTTAATTTGAAGAAATTGGTCCTTGTTGAAATTATAACGCACATTCCGTAAAAAGACCTTTCTTGAGGCCTTTTTTTTCTTAATTTTTTATCACTTGTTTAACGTTCCATATAAGTGATTGAGCAAAAAATGAAATAGGAATTATTTTTTTCTTTTTTTTTTGCAAAATAATTTTTTTCTACATTCACCGAGATTCGAGGCCCAATTTTTTTTTTCTTTTTTTTTTCTGTAAGGATCTAAATATGATATTAAATGCTTCCAATACACTGTACGATTAAAAAAAAAATAATATTATTGATTATAATATTTGTATTATGATGATTTATTCATTCGGAACGCCTAGATAAGCAAGTATACTCTATACAGATGCGATAATACTCGAGAATTGTATTTTATAAAGGTTTTTATTCGTCTTTTTATTTTACACATACCACAAGTGATAAGTGATATTGTTATTAAAAAAATATATATAAAAAATATATATATAAAAACAAATAATGAATACCGCGTGAATTCAAAATCCAACGAAAAAAAAAAACAGAAACCTCAATACTTCATTTTTTAAATTGACGACGAAACATGAAAACATCGAACTTACAAAAAAAATTTAAATTAAATCGATAACTTTAATCTTATATGTATATATAGTTAATTCTATATAAATGAAAAAACTAGATAGTTGTAAAGCTGTTTTTGCTTTTTTTAAAAAAAAAAAAAAAAATATTCTCAATTAAATAATAATCTAGATTTGCTGCCAATTATTATGGAATAAATGAAAAACACTCATTTTTTTTTCTTTCACTTTATGTTTTATTTTTAAGAGAATTTTTAAATTTGGTTTTTGATAAACTAATAAATGAATTAAATTCTCATTTATTAGTTGATTAACAATTATAGTATACAAAAATGGCAATTAAAAGTAATAAAAATATAATTAATCTTCCAAATTTAACAAAGTATTAAATTTATGAAGAATTTAAAATATTTGATGCAAATAATTGGAATTATGTTTTTAATTAAATAGAGATTTAATTAAAGTAAATCGTAGTTTTTAATCAAAAAAGAATTTCTAAAAATTTTTAATAAATTTAAAAGATTTTAAAATTCAAAATCAATTGAATTTCTAAATATTCTAAATTAAATTTTTTCTAATTTCAAAAGAAAAAAAAAAAAAAAAAAGGAGCGTTTTTTATTAATTCGATAACGGGGAAACAAAAGAAAAAAAAAGTTAGTCAATTTTTGAATTAAAGAAAAAAAATGAATCTTTAAAGTGCTCAAAAAGCAGTTTAAAAATGGTGAAGAGGTTAATAATTTTCGTGGATTCTGAATGCATTTTATTATTATATATATATATATAATAATAATAAGAATAAATAAATATAAATATTTAATTAATTGCCTAAAGGCATTTTTTGCCCAAAATGCTGAGAAAAAAAAATTGTACTTCCTCATGTAGAAGCTTCGGTTATCCGCGACAGGCATCGTGTCCACATTATTATAATAATAATAATATATTATATACGAACAAGCAAATTTGCTTAATAATAATAATACTCATTTATATTAGTGTTAACACTTAAGAAGTATATTTTTATATAATTATAATATAATAATTATAAAAAATACGATAGAACTTAAATGATCGCTCGTGTGCTGTTTTCCACAAGTCCTTTTTTATTATTATTTTTCTCAAGATAAAAATATTCCTCTAAATGCATTTAATGTATTCTAACTTGATAAAAGTGGAAGCCACACTTTCTATTGCATATAGAACGATTATTATTAATATTATTACATTATTATTATTTTATTATATTATATTGTAATTTTTATTATTTTATTATTAATATTATTATTAATATTAATATTATTAGCATTTTTATTACTATTTTTATTATTTTTTATTATTTCTATTAATATTATTATTTTTATTATTATTATTATTATTATTATTATTATTATTATTATTATTATTATTATTATTATTACTGTCAGAAATTAATGACAAATTAATGACTAATAACAATGGATAATAATTAATTAACGAGAATGATAATTTAGAGAAATAATTATTGAAACTCGTTAATAATAAATAGAAATTATAGAGAAATAAAAACTGAAGAATAATTAAATTAAAAAAATTCCTTCGATATTTGAAATGCAATAGTGATGCTGTTTCTGCTATATACTGTTGTTTACCACACCGCGATACTAAATGTTAATAAATGATGGTGTATCTGTAATTCCTAATAATGAAAATAAAAGAAAAAAAAAAAATTGTTACAATTGTTGAAGCAACGATTTTAAAGCACCATACGATGCCTTCCGTGAACGACCGAGCTTGCCTAGTTGCCAAATAATAATTCGACGAAGTGAGAATTTAAAGAAAAAAAAAATAAAAATAAAAATAAACGAGACTTGGCAAATCCGATCACTTCGATTATTATTTGCTTGAATCATTTCTTTGAATCAAATTATTCAATTTTTTAAATTTTTTGTCGCAAAGACATCGAAAACAAATGAAACTGCCTTTTGTAAAATAATCTTTTCTTATATGTACATTTTTAAAACATTGAAAATTAATATTTAAAAAATAAATTACTTAAAAAGAGGAATATTGATTTTCAATTAGTTTTGGAATTGGCAATTACAAATTTTTATTATAATGTAAAAAAAAAAAGATTCAAAATTGTTTATTGAATCGAAGTGATCGTGTTTCACACGTTTAAAAAAAATAGTACACGCAGTAATACTGGTGGTTATGCCATTGAGCTTTCCATGAACTATTATATATTATAAAAAAAAAAAATAAATTTAAGTACCAGATTAAAATGTAAATATATATATTACTATTCGATACGACAGACAATAATGTACCGTTTCTTTTAGAGAATAGATTCGTAATTATAAAGAAAAGCATAGTATACTTGTAGACATAAAAAATATAAATTTACTAAATTGGTATATATATATTATATATATATATACATAAATATATATATATATATATATATATATATATATATATAAATATATTATATACATAAATACATTTGATTTATATAAGAATGAAATGTAATGCAATACGTACTCAAGGGCGAAAGAAAATTAAAAATGAACTAAAAAAAAAAGGGGCTCGCTGTTTAGTGTCAGCAGTGTCATTTTGTTTCTTTTGTCTCTTTTTTAAATTATAAATATGTTAATATTGATATTAATCAAGTTAAACGAAAATAATTAATTTTTGTTTAAAATTAAATGTTAAATTTTATAATTAAATTTTAATTTTTTAAATTTTCTAAATTCACATTTTTTTCAATATTTATAATATTTTTTTGAAATAATGATTTTCAAAATTAAATTAAAAATAATAAAAAAAAAAAAAAAAAACGTTGCACAGAAGACACTATTTGGCAGTCTTTTTTTTTGAAAAAAATGCGTTTACGACTATAACGTGTCGTGTTTGTTACTGTGGAATAAGAAAAAAAAAAAGAAAATATTGTATTGTGACGAAGTTCCATCCATAAATAAATAAAAAAAAGAAATATTATACAGTTAGGCCGACTTTTCCGCCAGTTCGTGCCTTTTTTTTCTCTGCAGGAAGAGTGCAGTATTGGCATTCAATCTTTAGCCGTATTATACAATTTAATGCGATTAAAATGTAGGATTATATCTACATAAATATATTATGTATGTATATATATATATATATATGCGAATGAAAATAGATACATCTTTGCGAGAATTCAAAAAAAAAAGGAAAACGAAAAATTGAGATTTAAAACAAATAAAAATAATTAAAAATCAATATGAAAATTGATGTATTAAAAAGACATATAATATATGTATATATATATATGTATGTATATATACGATTATATTTTCCAAAATCGCTGCGGGACACTAACACATTCTTTCGAACGTAATATGTGAAACAAAACGACACAATAATAGAATTTTAGAATTGTTGTTCTTCGTTTCACAATGTAATAAAGGCTATTTTACTTTGACGCTAATGTTGCATTTTATTTTTAAATACAGTAAAACCCACTTAAAAAAAATAAAATTAATATAAAAAAATCATATTCAATAGGTATAATTTAATTTTGTCTATAATATTAAAAATTTCTAATGATTTTTTCTTATTGATCGAATTTCAAAATGTTTTTTTTTTTTTTTTTTTTTTTAATATTTTGAATTTTTTAATGGTAATTAATCTTAAATATCTCTATTTCTATTTAATATTAAAATAGGAAAATTTATTTATTTACAATTCAACAACCAATTCCGTTCCCGGATAATTGGGTAGATTTAAATTGTATTCTAATTCTAATTTACGTGGTACAAATCTACCACCAAGAAAATGATATTTTCCCTGAAAATTACGTGCGCAAAGTTTTGGCGCTGTTAATGAAATAAGCATTTCAGGATTTAAACCACCATCATCCGGTGGACCATTTTCAACATTCCAACCAGATGGAATATCAATACTGCATACGGGGACTGTTGAATTTTTCAAAATATCAATTATTCGAATAAATTCCTCTCTTACCGGTGGCTTAAAACTAAATCCAAATAATGCATCGACAATAATACGATATTCATTTAATTCCTTGAAATTTTCCACACTATTGAGAATTGCAATTTCATTCTCCAAACATTGATGCAAAAGATTTTCATAAAGTTGATTTTTCGTTCTTTTTGGATAATAAACTTCAGGATTGTAACCAAACAATTTTAAATGTCTTGCGCATACCTAGAATTTTAATTATTTTTTTTTTACAATATAAAGCCGAAAAAATTTTTTAAATTTAATTTAGTAAAAAAAAAAAAAAAATGATAAAATTATTTACGTATTTACCAAACCATCACCGCCGTTATTTCCTGGTCCACAACAAATTAAAATATTTTTTGATGACAAATTCTCCAAAATTGGATAACATTTAGCGATAGCAATTGCACAACTTAAACCAGCAATTTCCATTAATTGATCGACACTAAATTTATAATTGTTAAATAATTCCTTATCAACATTAATTGCCTCTGTTTGATTTAAATATTTAATCATTTTTATATTTATTTTTTTATTAATTGTTGTTGTGGCAAAAAATTGCCTTGACAAATAAACACTTGCTTTTGGTAGAAATTTTAATTTTTCACGTATTTCTGATTTTGAAAGTAATAAAAATGATTTCATATCAAGATTTATGAATTTGTTAGATCATTTTATAATAATTTATTTATTTTTTATGTAGTTTTAACAAATTTTAAAAAGAAACATAACCTAAAAGTTTATTTTCAAAAGTGGAGTGATGTGATTCGTCAGAGGGTTTGTGTGGCTTATTTATGATTGGTGGACAGTTATTATCACATGACACTGTATTGTAAACTAACCTTATTGTGATGGTCGTGTTTTTGTCATTTTTGTGCGTTTTTTTCTCTGTTGTAAACAACACACGTGTTTTAATTTACAAGATTAAAACATGAATTTAAATAAAAGAGTTGAATATTTAATAACAGATACAAGTGCATTTATAAAAAATGCAGCCTTACATGTAAGTATTATAAATAGAATTTTTTTTTTTAAATTAAATGTGCTTAATATGTTTGATAGGTTATGTTAAATGTCAATTTTTCTATACAATAAAATTCATTTTATTTCACTTATCGCAAACAATTAATATATTTGCAACAGGAAATAGGTAACAATATAATTACTGAACCTTCGGTTGTACATGAAATAACAAGCAAACGACAATTGAGAAGGTTAGTTGTTCTACCTTACGATTTAAAGATTCAGGAAGTTTTCCCAGAAAACATTAGATTTGGTAAGTAATTATTAAAAATATTTAGAATAGTTGTTATTATTATTGAATTTAAATAACATGTGAATTAAATCGTTTTTGTAATATTTTAATGTTAATTTAAAATGTCACTTGTTTAATTTTTAAATTTAAAAATAAAGTTACGGAATTCGCCAAGAAAACGGGAGATTATCCAAGTCTTTCAGCGACTGATATTAAAGTAATAGCTTTGACTTATCAATACGAAAAGGAAAAAATTGGCACTGAACATTTAAAAACAACTCCTGAAATTGTTCGAACACTTAACGATCCCGAAGCGCTACAACAAAATCATCCCAAATGTCTCGCTGGCTTTTATCTTCCGGAAAAGGTAATTTTCAAAAATTAATTTTTATTTATTATTCTTATTTAAATATATTCCAATAAAATGTTTATTCTATTCAAGAAAAATGATGAGAAAGATGATAAAAGAATTGACAATAATGCTGAAGAGGTGGAGAGATTATTACAAAAATTAAAGGAAACGGGCAAATTAAAAAATGATATTGAAGATGTTAATTCAAAAGAGGAGAAAAATTCTTCAGACAAATATTCTCAAAGTTCATCAGAATCAAATTATGATACAGCAACGTCCGATTTGGAATCTATTGAAATATCACCATTAGATTTAATGGATAAATTTAAGAAATTAGATTTTAAAGAAACTGATTTAATAAACGAAAAAAATAATTATGATTTTAATGATATTCTTCGGCCTATTAATTGTGAAAATTTGAATAGTGATTCTGGAAATGAAGCCGAAGAAGAGAATAGCGATGAAGACGATGACAATGGATGGATAACACCAGGTAATTTAATATTTTTTCTTTCTTTTAAATTTTATTTTTCAAATAACCTTTCCCCCCCCCAGGAAATATTGAAGCCATAAAAAAACAAATGGAATCTGATGTAATTGATGAAAAACCGGCAACTGTTGCGTGTCTCACTATGGATTTTGCAATGCAAAATGTTTTAATGCAAATTGGATTAAATATTGCATCCCTCGAGGGTAAAGTTATTAGACAAATGCGAACATTTATTTTGAGATGTTGCGCGTGTTTTCGAACAACGGGAATAATGACAAAAATCTTTTGTCCCTATTGTGGTAATAAAACATTGAAGAAAGTTTCGATTTCCATTGATGAAAATGGCAAACAACATATGCATATTAATTTTCGAAAGCCCCTTTCGACAAAAGGAAAAAAGGTATATTTTCTTTTTATTAATTTACTTTTAAGGAGTAAAGTTCATATTGTTTTTTATTTTCGAACTATAATTTTTTTTTTCTAAATGAAAACGTATTTTATCTTTTTTTTTTTTAGTTTTCATTGCCAACACCTCAAGGTGGGAAACATGCGAATAATCCAATTTTATGTGAAGATCAACCGAGACCCGATCAACGACCATCGAGATTGGCACGAATGAAAAATGATCCCTTAAAGGACGATTATATCGCAGGATATTCGCCATTTGTTACGCGCGATGTTAATTCAAAATCGGCAATGTTGGGTATTCGAAGTGGAAGGGGTGAATTTAAACATTGGATGAAAAAAAATCCCAATGAATGTAGAAGAAGAAGAAAATGAAAATTTTTGGAAAAATTAATAATAGATTTAAAATGTAATTGTAAGTTAATTTTCATTTTTCGATAAATTTCAAAATATATTCATTTAGAGAATACAAATTTTATAACTATATAAATAAAAATTTAATAATATCAATGTATTATGTTTATTATTATTAATATAAAATTCAAAATTATTTATTTGAAATATACGGCTTTTCGTACAAAAAAATATTCTTTAAAAGTTAAAATAAATTATGCAGTAAATATGATTTGCGAAAAAAAATGCCCCGGGTGAGGATCGAACTCACGACCTTAAGATTATGAGACTTACGCGCTGCCTACTGCGCTACCGAGGCCGATGTGTTAATATGGCTTTAAAATGAATAACACTGTGAAAAGTGAAAGTGTTCATTTTCAATTAAAAAAAAAAAAAGATCAGCTGATCATTCTCATTTGTTTTTCGTGACTAACCACGTTGATACACAACCATGTTTTGAAAATAGTGTCTCTAATTATTTAGCAAATTACGTGCATAATAAACAAAAATAAATATTTAAAGGAACTCTTATTTTGATTGCAAACAAAAGTTTTTGCAGATGAAATGCTGTGTCCCGAAATTTGGAATTTTAAACCTCCACAGCATTCATTGTTGATAGAGCAATCAAATCAACTAAAGGATTCTCCTTCCATTATCAAGACTCATTATTTCAATCATTCTGTAAGTGGCTTATTACTTTTTTTTTTGTCTTTATTATTATATCTATATATAATGCACCATAATTGCACATCAATTTCGAGGTTATATTTTTACGTAATTTTGTGAAAATGACTTTTTGGATAAATGCCAGGTGTCTGTCGTATTTCCTGAGACAATTGACGTACCAGAGGAAATTCAAAGTAGCCTTCTCCGTGATAAGGATTATTACAAAATTCATGATTTATGTCCACACGAACTTGTGAGCAAGGAATTCATAGAGGCCTTTGTTAAGAAAGGTTAGATTTTCTTTGTTTTAATAATTAAAATTTTAATTTAAAATTTGATGCGTAAAATCTTTTCTATTTTTTTTTAATTTAAGGTGAATTGTCACTATTGGCGATCGACAAAAAAATAGACGTTCACAATATTTTGTCAATTGTTCCATCAGGTGAATTGTTACTCTCATTGACACGTGAAACATATCAAACCCTTGGTCTTGAGGGTAAATCATCATTTTTTAATCGCAATCAAGACGATACATCACGACACGGTAAGTTTTCTCGCCGAAGGAGCAATATTTAAAAAAAAAATAATAATTCTAAAAATGCCTAAAAAACGTCAAGTTCGAATGCTACAAGATTTAGCATTACATTCAATTGGCGAATATGTAACTGATTTTGGTAAAAATATTATTCGACCATCATTATGTTGGAATATTGAAAAAAATAAATCAAAAATGAATTTTGTCACACATTTAATTCAAGGAATGAAATATCATTTGAGTTCAAGTATACCATGGCATCTTTATGATAAACTTTCAATTTATGTTCTACGTGCAATTTCAAATCTCGTTAATGAAATGAATAATAATAATATTAATAATAATTATTCAACAAAAGTGAAAATTCACACTGAAATACAATTAATTATTGTAACACGACTAACGGAAATTGTTATACATGAAAATTTACGTACAATTGAATTTACAGCATGGCCAAAAATAATGCGTCATGTTTTATATAATAAATTACATTTAATGAGTGGTTTGGAAATATTGGATCTTGGTGCAGGTTCAACTGGATGGCGTACATCGGATTATGAAAAAATTATTATTGCCGCTGTTAATGGAATGAAAAATTTAATTTCATTTACACTTTGTTTCGATTGTACGGATAATATTATTTATGAATTAAGTGAAAATTGTCAGAAATTACAAAAAATTGATGTCACAGCATCGGGATGTGTGACTGATCGTAGTATACCATTTTTAATAAAATTTCATCGTTTAAAAGAAATTAAATTATTTCGCACATCAGTGAGTATTGGTGGTTATGCAAATTTATTATTGTGCCATCGTCAATTGGAAAATATTGGACGTTATGATAAATTTGGTCATGTATTGGAATATATACGTGAAAATATTGATAATTTTCATGAATCATTTTCATTACGTGTATTTGAATCACGAAATTTAAGGATCAAACATCTTTATTTATTATGTGAAATGTGTCCATTTATTACAAATTTTTCAATTTTACGCGATGAAAAAATTGAAGATTTAAGTTTTATTTTAAAACCATTAAATCAATTACGTGAATTAAAAATACTTTCATGTAGTTTCTATCGTAATGGATTAAATAATTTATTTTGTCATAAAGGAAATAATATTGTTAATTTACATTTGGAACATGTTGATGAAATTGATATGAATGCACTTGTTTGTTTAAGTCAATCATGTCCAATGATTAAAACACTTGTGTTTTATAATTGTGAATTTTTGGAATTGATGAATCTTAATGTTGAAAAATTAACAGTGACACCATTTCAATATTTGGAGAGAATTAAATGTGCCTCTGAATGTTCAAATATGCATTTGGAATATTTATTGTCATATTGTGTTAATGTGAAATTTATTCAATTGGGCTCATCAACTGGAATTGATGATACAACAATGAGACGAATTTTATTGAGAAATCCAATGTTCCAATTGGAGGAATTAAAAATACTTTATAGCGCTGATTTATCAATGAGTACAGTGAAATTACTTATGGAAAATTGTCATAATTTACGACGTATCTCAGAATTAGAAAGTTGGCAAGGAATCACATCGAATGAATTAGACAATTTTCGTCGTGATATCAAATTTAATAATATTAATTTGGACACAAGTCCCACATTATCATTGGCGTGATCATATTTTTATTTTTTTTTTTTTCCTAAAAAAAAATAATTATTAATAAAAATGAACTTTCTTAAAAAGAATATTTGTAATATAAAACACACAGTGAAAACTGAATATTTTTTTACACTTTTTTGTACACTTGAATTTTGCAAAATGTAGAAAAGAATATTTTTTTCCCCTCTTTATTTTCTATTTTTTTTTTTTTTTCACAAAATTTTGAATTTTTTGTTGCTCTTTTTTTTGCCGGTGTAAAAGTCGTGACACTTGATTTGAAAAAGGAATGTTTCACACCGGGAAAGAAGAATTATGAACGCGTTAGGAATTGCTTAAAGAATTATTTCAAGGAAACATTTGATGTCATTGTCGCATGGGATCCACCAGGTAATAAATTGTTTAATTCAATAATATAAAAAAAGAATTATTTTTTTGTTTAAAAAAAAAAATGATAATTTTCAGAAGATAATGTATGTCCTTCATCAATAGCAGCGTGGTTTCATAAACGTAATTATAAAATATCTCTTTGTCATCAAAGTTTCGTTAATCGAACGAGATATTCAATTGATGTGCCAGTTGTTGACGATTCATGTGATTATCATCAATTTTTCGAGTGGCTTGGACTTTTTAGCGTTGATGGAAATTTGTGAGTTTGAAAAGTTTTAAATTGTTTTAAAAAAATCTTTTTTTTCTATTTTTAATTGGGAATTTTTATCAATTTTCGATTGAAAAAATAAATTCTATGATCATAATATTGAAGAATATTGATTTTTTTTACAGAAAAAATAAAGATACAAAAACAAATCAATCATCAGTTTTTGCATCGAATCAAGTTCAATATATTGAGAGTACAGGATTTTTTACACGCAGAATGGTCAACAATGTTTATAGTGCCATAAAAAAGTATATGGGAGAAAATAATATTTCATGGTGTAGTATGGATGTACAAGGTTTTGCAGATAGTCCCATTAGTTGGGGATTAAAGGAACATCAATTTTATACGGATGGCGACAATAGTTATACAATTGTCTTTTGTCCTAATGGAAAGTGTATTACGCGTAAAAGCCTTAGCTCAAATAATAAACCAAGGATATTTCAATAACAATTATTTACAAACGAAAAAAGAATTAATTTTTTTTGTTTTATTTTTTATACCATATACTGTTTCTCTAAATATATATGTGATATTAAATTTTAACCATTTCACCGCGTATAAAAAAAATTAATTTTACATTATATTTATAAAGGAAATAAATAAATAGTAAAAATTCCAATTTTCTATAGTAAATAGTCTAACCTTTTTTTTTTTATTTTCAACCAATAAATAGATTAATTCTAAATTATTTTACAATTTAAATTCAAAATAATTTTTGAATATTTCAAAAGTACATGTACATTTGTCTTGTATATTAAAAAAAAGGAAGTTTTAATTCTAAAATGTTTAATTCTTTTAAATTAAAAATTTTTTTGCTCGCTAAAGTGAAAGAATACTGATAATTATAATATTGCAACTTTGACTAGAATTGTAGTTTTTCTTAAGTTATTTATCGTATTTTTAATTTTCTTTTTTTAAAGATAATTAAATTTTAATTTTTTTTAAATACTAATTAAGAATACTAATTTCGTATGGAAAAAATGATTAATTTTTGCTTATACAGATGTACGAGTTTCATATTCTCGATTTGTTATTTTTTTTCTTGTTTTTTTGGTTTTTTTTTTTATAAAAATGTAATTATTAAAAAATAATGGCACTTATAATGAAATCAAGACGAAAATAAATAACATTATTGTAAATGAAATTGATAAAATGACTGTTTCTTATATTAAAACGTGAGTACTTTCTGATTCAGTGAATTTCGATTTGGAATTTTGTTGTGGATAAAAATCATCAATACTAACTGAACCAATTGAAATACGTGACTTTGATCGTGCCATTAATTCATTTAAATCGTCGATATCTCTGCTGTATCTGCAAATAATTAATCCTTCAATCATTTTTTTTTTAATTTTATTGGTCAATTAAAAAAAATATATATTTTTTTAAACAGAGTTTCTTTTATAGGAAAAATAGTAATTTTTTTTAATTGTAGAAAAAACTCCGTTTAAAAAAAGCAATTTTAAATAAAATAAAATATATTAAAGAAATCAGAAAAATAATTATTCTTACCGACTAATTGGACGACTCGGATTTTCCGATGATTCTGATGATGCTTTTGTCACTGATTCTCCATCATCTGTCATGTTGAAATTCGCCGAAATTCCTTAAATTAAAAAAAAAAATTCTCATTAACTTCTTTTATTATTTAGTAAATTTTATTTATTTTCTTTTCTTTACCAGAAGGGAATAACATTGTGTGTTTGAGAAGATCTCCACTTAAGAATGGAGGCAAATTATCATCGTCATCATCTCCTGACAATAAATGATTGGCTGGATCAATAACAATTGATTCGACCATTTCAATCCACTGTTGATTGTGAGATCTAAATTTTTCAACTTTAATACGCGATGCCCAATCTTTATCATACATCTGAAAATTGACGAAATTGTTTATTTTTACTTTTCAAAAATAAATGAATTTATTTAATTATTATTAATTAGTATTATAGGTACCGCTATCACATCCAGGCAAACTTCACAAACTTTTCGTATCGCCGAATTTTTGTCGTGCATTAAATCTATTAAATATCCTGGTGCTTCTGTAAAAAGTACAAAATACGTTTGAAATTATAAACAAAAAACTATTTTAAACATTCACAATTATGTAAAAAAAAGAACTGTTCCATTACCAGTTTCACGAATTAAATAGTCTCGGGTTAAATCGTGTTTTGAAATTTGATAAAAAACATATATGATCTGTAAAACTATTTCGTCATCTTCTTGTTTCGCTGTAAAACGAGAAAAAAAAGTGTATAATTTAAAATATTACAAAATAAAATTCTAGCTTCAAATAAATTTAGTAAAGTTTAAGTTATTTTTTTTTCTCTCGTTAAACAAGAATTAAAATTTAAAAATTCCAATAATTACCTTTTAATAGTTCAATTAACGACAAGAGAATATCTGCTTTGCACATTAATTGTGCACAATCCTCATCAGCAGCAGAAGTACCCAAAAATATCACAATTTCTAAAACTAAATCATCTTTCGCCTTTCCTGAAAATTCAATTTATCATTTAAAAAAAAATTTATTTTAACCGACACTTTTTTTTCTTCTTTGCGCTATATTTACCGGGAACGAGATTATTACGAATCCAAGGAACGAGTTTGCATGTTTGAAGAATTTGCGAATATTCCAAATCTAATGTTAAATTTCCCATGATTCCAACAATTTCAAGAACAAAATCTTGAGAATCCGATTGATTAACTGCCATTGCAAAATCTCCGACAAAATCCTATGGAATTAAAAATTGTAATTATTAGCAAAAAAAAAAAACACCAAAATTTTAATTTTTAAAAATTATTTTTACAAAAATTAATTAAATATATTTAAATTTTTATCATTACTTTATATATAAAATACTTACAACAAAATTTTCTTTAGTCGCATCATGTTGAGAAATATTTCTAATCATTTTCATAATTAAAGCGTCTTGATTTCGAAATGCTTTTTTTATTAATTTTTGTAAACGATTATTTTCGACCATAAGCTGAGCATTTTTATTATTCAATGCCAAATTTATACACAAGGCAAGTAATTCCGGTTTATGTCGTTCGTCATCAGAATCCATTAATAACATATCCGTTAGCTTCAAAAAAATTAAGTAAAAAAAAAAAAACAAATTATTAATCAAAATATTCAATTTATTGAAAAGTCGAAGTAAATTAAAAAAAGAAGAAGTAAAATACATGAAAAATTATTGACATACCATTGGAACGCAATCAGTATTTGGAAACATTGCCTTTACTTTATCATCCATACTTGCGTGATACAATAATCCAAGAATTGTTGATTTATTCTTAATTTCGCCATTTGTTAAGAATTTTATTAATTTTGGCAATAATCCAACGCGAATCATTTTCCCTCTCATTTTTGTGTCAAACGAAAGATTAAATAAAAGTTTTAATGTACACAAAAGTAAATCAGGATTATTTGTTTGTAATAGTTTCGGCACTTTTTCAATAACATTTTCCTCGGCCTGTAAAATAATAAATAATTATTGAAATTTAAATAAGAAATTAATTTTTACTTTCTTTTTTTTTACCATGAGATCCTTGTTTTCCCGGAAAATTGACACTTTCTTCAAAAATGTCACCACCAAAATAAGTAAATCACTATTAAATCTGTCAAGAGTTTTTATCAGCATTCCAATAACATTTTTCTTGCGCATTTTTCTCTCCACTTCCGTATTCTCAGCGATATTTAATAATAAATAAAATGCAACTGTGAAAAAATAGTGTAAAATTATTTTTTTAAAAAATAATATTCAATTTTTGTTTTAAAAATTAAAAAAAAAAAAAGCTACCTCGAAGTAATTGTTCTTGTTTTTTTGTGAGACTTTTGAATTTTTTTCGATTCTTTTCAAGTTCATCTTTTAAACGTTTCACTTCACATTCGGGAATTTTGAGTGACGACATATCAATGTCTTTAAATTTTCTACTATTACTATTAACTTCAAATTCTAATGGACCATCTGCATTCCAAATATCGTCGAAAAATTTCATTTTCCTATCGCCAATATCACTTCCATTTCCTAATGTTGGAAAAAGTAAAAGTCCTGTATTACTTTCAAAATGACGTTTATGTTTTTCCATGTCCTCGCGCCATTGATCGTAACGTTGCAATTCAAAATCAATAATATCCATACAAAGGGAACCGATCTAAAAAATTTTGCATTTTTTTTTTTTTTTTATTAAAAAATAGAATGCAAAAATGAGAATTTTCAAAAAATCATATTCAATTAGCACTTACTCTGTATTCCAAAACGATGTTATGAAATCGTGTATAAGTTGAAAAACAGAAAAATATATAAATTATATTGGTGGAAAGTTCAATACTGCGTCTCCAGTCTTCCCTCAAAACTCGCGCCAAAGCACTTAATAATGACTCTAAGAATACAAAAATAATTATTTAAAAAACAAAAAAACACTTTTCACTTAATTTTATTATTTTGCGTGAAAAATCGTGAAATACCATTTTTAGCGAGTTCCAATAAATTATCAGGAATTCTTGCCAATTGTAAAATAAGTGAAGAACCCTTGACTTTATCGGGAATTTCTTCATAAAGCAATTCAATGTAATTGTCAATGTTACTAATAACAGCACGCTCTAAATTGCTATTTTCATTATTCATTGAATTTGTCGATGTTGGTCTCGGTGGTTGTGCATTAATTTCATATCCTAAAATGTAAAACGTAACAAAAAAATATAACGAAAAATTAATAAAATCATAAAAAAAAATTTTGTTATAATAAAAAAACTATACCATCACTGTTTGAACGTCGATTTTGAAGATAATAAATCAACTGCTCTACTTCATGTAATTTCGATTCGTGAATCAATGAACATTTTTCAATGACTTCTTTCGCTAATAAAGCAACATTTGTATCGGCATTCAAACTTTTCAGTCGAATAATTTTTTGACATTCCTGCATAAAATACGGATTTTATTTTGTGAACATAAATAAAGATATTATTATGATGAAAATAATTTAAAATCAATAGATAAGACGAACTTTAAAAAATAACTTAACAAAAAATTAATAAACTCTTACATAATATTTTAAATAAAAAAATTCATTTTTTGATAAAAATATTCATTACCTTTCGATCACCAAGCATAGGATCTCCTAATTCTCCTAAAATAAGTGCTTCTACATCGTAATTTACAACTAAAGCTTTTTCTGTTGGATGTACGTCTAAGGTTCCAGATCTAATTTTTCTAAAGTACAAAAAAAAATTAATTAAAACACATTATATTTTTTTAATAATTGCTTTTAAATTAGAAGAAGAAAAAAATGATCTTTTGAGAAAAAATATATACCTTTTTAGATATCTGGCTTCATCCATTTTTAACCAATTTTTTTTTTTTTCTTTACAAAACGTCAAGAATAGATAAACAACTTTTTTTTTTTTATAACCAGTTACAAAAATTAGCCGACCACAAAGTATTTCTTAAAAAATTCCTATTAATTTAACAGAATACTGCATAATTTTGTTATTATTATTCACAGTAAAATCAAAGATTTGACATCCGTTGCTGTAGACACCATATCACAAAGTATTGAACAAATTTTATTGTCTGCTTGAGCAATTAATAAAGACAAAATCTACTTTATCGATTGTTGATTGAAACTGTTAAAAAAAAAATTTATTTACTATTTAAAATATATTGTATTTATAACTAAATTATAACTATTAATTTATAATAACTAAAAAATAAATGTAGAAATTAATAAACAAAAAGAAAATCAATCATAAGAAAACAATAAAAGTAAAAAAAGAAAAATATATCCAACCCCTGTATATTGATTTTTTTCTATGACGAAATGTAAGTGCAAACTATAATAATATTAGATGTATTATACATATATGTAATTATGGATGCCTATGTTAAAACTCAAGTAATATAAAAAAAATTTTCAATAATACATTGTCATTAATTTAATACTAAATTAGTAACTTATTTAAACATTACAGAAATAAAAAAACGAAATTTTTTTTAAAAAAAATCTAAAATTTATTTAGCTCAAAATTCGTAGGTCCAAACTCTCTAAATTTGAATTAGTGAAAAATGAGCTAATAATTCAAATTAGTAAGAATTTTTACTAATTTCTTACTAATTCTGGGATTTTTTTTTTTATTTAAAATTGCTTCTACTTTTTTATGGTCGAATCTCTCTAAATTTGAATTAGTTAAAAAGTGAACTACTAATTCAAATTAGTAAGAATTTCCACTAATTTTTAGTCACTTTTTACTAAAACTTTAGTAAAAAAAAAAATTAAAAACTACTAAATCAAAGAGTTATATTTTATTAAAAATTAGTAAAAATTCTTAATAATGTGAATTAGTAGCTCACTTTTCACTAATTCAAATTTAGAGCGATAATTATTTATTTATTATTTTTATTTATTATTAAAGATTTCATATATATAAATATATATATATATAATGATTTTTTTGTTTTATGTTTTAAAATATTTTCATATATTTTAAATTAGAAAAATTTAATATTTAGAATAAAATTATATTAAAAAAAAATAAATAAAAGTCCTTATAGAAAAAGGGTTTTTAACTTATGGAGCACTAGCTTCTTCTGATTTAACTTCCAGTTTTTATTCCCCTCTTTTCGTTTAGTGTTCAGCCATTCACAATGCATATGCAAATGAGCCAATTACTGATGTTCTTGTACAGTCTCAGCTTCTTCGTTCATGTTGCCTAAAAGTGTGTAAAGAAAATCACATTTTTTTTTTTTAATGATAATTACAAAATAATAATAATTATATACAATATAAAAAGAGAAAAATAATCACAAATTCAAAATTTTTTTTTATTTATATGATATGATATGTATATATTGTAAAATTGTGTGTTTTTTTTTTTTTTATTCTAGATTTGAAAATATTGAGTCTAACTTTTGTTCCAAGTAGGTTCATGTAAGTACAAACATATACATACTCGCCCCTTTTGATTTCGTTCCAACGCACAGTGGGGTAAAAACCCTAACATAACAGATGTGCAAAAATCCCACGATAGGGCCAACTTTTGATAAAAGAAAAGAAAGAAAAAAAAAAAAAAAAAAGAAAAACTAGAATATTTCAAGGCTAACCACGTGTTCTTGCAAAAGGTACGTATGGTGTTAAAATTCGTATATAGGATTATACATATATATATATGTGTGATGCCACTGACTTTGGCTGAGTACCAAAGATGAGACGTTGCGAGAGAGAGAGAGAGAGAGAGAGAGAGAAATCCCCCTCAAGGTGGGAGATATGTGTGTGAAGGTAGAGAGGAACTGTAAGATAGGTTAGTAAGTTAGTTAATGCGCATTTATATTATGAATTACTGTAACGTGACGTAACATCATCGTCCACGTGGTTCACCACTTGGTGCGAATATTGACATTCCTTCAAAAATTTACATCAATTTTCAATATATACTCTACTAAATCTGAATTACTAGTTTTCTACTAATGAAAGAGTGCGTATTCGTTTACCAACTTTAATTAGTAACAGTTTTGACTAATTTTTAGTAAAAAAAAACTACTATAATTCATGAAGTAAATCGTATTTTTACTATTTTAAATTAGTAAGCCGATTTACTCCATGAATTAGTAGTTTTCTATTATAGCAATTAGTAGTTTTCTTTACTAAAAAAAGAGTCACAACTGTTACTAATTCAATTGGTTAACGAATCCGCACTTTTTCATTAATAGAAAACTACTAATTCAGAATTACTCTCTAAATCTGAATTAGTAAAAATGTTTACTAATTTGAATTAGTGACTCACTTTTTGCTACTGAATTAGTAAAATTTTACTGATTATTATTAACTTTTACTAACAAATAGTAAAATTTTACTAATTCAGAAGCAAAAAGTGAGTTACTAATTCAAATTAGTAAAAAAATTTTACTAATTCATATTAGTATAAATTTTTACTAATTCAGATTTAAAGAGCATGACAACCGTTTCAATACTCTCTAAATCTGAATTAGTTGTTTTCTACTCACAAAAAATTAAAAGACATTAAAATAAGCTGTAACGCTTCTTATTTTAATCCAATTTTTCTTATTTTAATACCAAAATGAATTAAAATAAGCAAAATTGGATTAAAATAAGAAGCGTTGCATCTTATTTTAATGTCTTTTAATTTTCTGTGCTAATGAAAGAGTGCGTATTCATTAAAAATTAAATTAGTAACAGTTTTGAATAATTTTTAGTAAAAAAAACTACTAATTGCTAGTAGGAAACTACTAATTCATGGAGCAAATCGTATTTTTACTATTTTAAATTAGTAAGCCGATTTACTCCATGAATTAGTAGTTTTCTACTATAACACTTAGTATTTTTTTTTTTACTAAAAAAGAGTCAAAACTGTTACTAATTCAATTGGTTAACGAATCCGCACTCTTTCATTAATAGAAAACTACTAATTCAGAATTACTCTCTAAATGTAAATTAGTGACTCATTTTTTGCTTTAAAATTAGTTAAATTTTACTAATTGTTAGTAAAAGTTACTAATTATTAGTAAAATTTTACTAATTGAGAAGCAAAAAGTGAGTCACTATCTTTCTAAATTTAAATTAATGAAAAATGAGCTACTAATTCAAATTAGTAAGAATTTTTATTAATTGTTTTTCGTAATTCATGGAGTAAATCGGCTTACTAATTTAAAATAGTAAAAATACGATTTACTTCATGAATTATAGTAGTTTCTACTGTAGCAATTAGTAGTTTTTTAATAAAAAAGAGTCAAAACTGTTACTAATTCACATGGTTAACGAATCCGCACTCTTTCATTAATAGAAAACTACTAATTCAGATTTACTCTCTAAATCTGAATTAGTAAAAAATTTTACTAATTTAAATTAGTGACTTATGTTTTGCTTTAGAATTAGTTAAATTTTACTTAATGTTAGTAAAAGTTACTAATTATTAGTAAAATTTTACTAATTGTTAGTAAAAGTTACTAATTGTTAGTAAAAGTTACTAATTGTTAGTAAAAGTTACTAATTATTAGTAAAATTTTACTAATTGAGAAGCAAAAAGTGAGTCACTATCTTTCTAAATTTAAATTAATGAAAAATGAGCTACTAATTCACATTAGTAAGAATTTTTACTAATTGTTTTTGGTAATTCATGGAGTAAATCGGCTTACTAATTTAAAATAGTAAAAATACGATTTACTTCATGAATTATAGTATTATTATAATTCACATTAGTAAGAATTTTTACTAATTTTTAGTAAAATATGACTATTTAAATAAATAGTTTAAATTTTTTTTTACTATAGTTTTAGTAAAAAGTGACTAATGATTAGTTAAAATTCTTACTAATTTAAATTAGTATCTCACTTTTCACTAATTCAAATTTAGAGAGATAATTTAAATTAGTTAAATTTTTTTACTAATTCAGATTTAGAGTGTAGAGTGTATACTTATTTTTATAATCAATAAGATTTTAAAGCATTAAAAAAAGAAAAAAAAAAAAAAAACACGAAATTAAATTTTAACAATAATTATCATCCCCCGTGTAACAAGTTACATTTCTATTATAAAATGTCCTTCATATTGGATCCGACATTTTTTATTTTCAAATTCTAATGCTATAAGTTTCCATAAAAAAAAAAAAATTTTCTCTCTAAATTTGAATTAGTGAAAATTGAGCTACTAATTCACATTAGTAAGAATTTTTACTAATTTTTTTTAGTAATTCATGGAGTAAATCAACTTACTAATTTAAAATAGTAAAAATACGATTTACTTCATGAATTATAGTAATTTTTTTTACTAAAAATTAGTCAAAACTGTTACTAATTCAAGTTCGTAAACGAATCCAAACTCTTTCATTAATAGAAAACTACTAATTCAGAATTACTCTCTAAATGTAAATTAGTGACTCATTTTTTGCTTTAAAATTAGTTAAATTTTACTAATTGTTAGTAAAAGTTACTAATTATTAGTAAAATTTTACTAATTGAGAAGCAAAAGGTGAGTCACTATCTTTCTAAATTTGAATTAATGAAAAGTGAACTACTAATTCACATTAGTAAGAATTTTTACTAATTTTTTTAGTAAACTATTACTATTTTATTTAGTAGTTTTAAAATTTGCTGACTAAAGTTTTAGTAAAAAAAAAAAATGACTAAAAATTAGTGAAAATTCTTACTAATTTAAAATAGTAGTTCACTTTTCACTAATTCAAATTTAGAGAGTTGACTAATTGTAAATTTTTTCAAAATAATAATTTTGTGTTTCGTTTTATTTTATACAATATTCATTTTTAAGATATTAATATTAAATAAGTATAAAGTAAGAGAAAAAGTAATATCAATTATTTCTTCATAAAGTTTAGATATTAAAGAATAAAAAAACATGGATATCATGAAGATTGTTGTTTGGGTATTTAGATTAATGTTGGTTTTATTGGTATATTCCTTAATAAGACAAGTGAAGAGGGCTTTGTTTTTAATTACTGCTGTAGTTGTAGGAATGCATAATGTAGCCGATTATGCACCAATAAGATGGTTTGGTTAATATTTCCCTTTTTAATTTCATATCCAAAAAAGAAAAGCATATCCTTTATTTTTAAAAATATCATCTCCTTTATATATAAAAATATGAATAAGCTTTAAA